GCAGACGCGCTGGGGGAGTAGGGACGTGGCGAGATGAGGAACGTTTACGAGCTCATAGCTCACATTGTCATCAAAACAGCGGCGTAGCGTGGGTTAGTTTCGCTCGGGGCGGAAGAACAAACACAAAATTAAAATTTGCAATCATCAATCAATCAAAATCAAAATTGCCGCGCCTACAAAATCAAAATTTTTACCCCCACGAAAATAGGAAATAATATTTTAAAATTATTTTTAATCAAAATTTTGACAAATTGACTGGTACAAATTAGGTCTGACTTTGGAGCACAATCTTTTAATTGACATAATTGTAACTTTTAACATAATTTCACTAGTACATAGCTGAGGGCTTAGTGTGATTTTATTTCGCTCTTCTGCTTGAAAAAGTACAAAAATCTCTACAAGTGTGTCTACAGATATTATCCATATACGAGTATGTATCCCACAAATATTCTTTCTTTCTCATGTACACCATCATTCAAAACTACCTATCAGACGGTACCATATTATCTTCTGACGCCACATCCACTTAACAACTAAGTAGGGGATGCATCCAGGGATCTCTATGTGGGCTGACCTGCTGGAATCTGATTTTAGACGAACTACTGGACATGATCGGTGACTCGTCCGGGAGCAGACTTCCGGAGGGGTGCCGGACCTTTTTTTTTATGTTAAAAGGGGCAGACGAGCAGACAGGTCACCTGATGGAAAGTGACCATCGCCGCCCATGAACGTCTGCAACTCAACGTCACAAACGCGTTGCCGCCCTTTAAGGAAGGAGGCTCTTTTCTTGAAGGTCGTATCAGTCCGGCAATACCGCAGACGATAACCCGTTTCACAGATTGGTTGCGCGAGGCAAAAAGTCTCGAAAAGCGCACAGTACTGGAGCGCCAACGATCCAGGTGATGGAGATGAAATTTTTTCCGTGTGGAACGATGGCGGAAAGTTGCAGCTGGTATTAGTCCGTACAACTCCTCGGAGCACTCTCCATGATATATGCGATAGAGAATGCAGAGTGAAGCCACATCTCTACATAACGCCAAGGGACCGAACCGATCTGTGATCTTTGGGCTATCGACGATTCGAGTCGTTCTTCGTTAGATGCGTTCCAGAGGGAGAAGCTGGTACTGAGGTGCCCCTGCATAGAGATGAGAACTTGACCTGAAAGTCAAAGAAAGAGCAGGAATCGAATTAACTGGAATTACAAGGGGTCACCCATTACCTGTCACTCGATCTCATACTTAATACACCCCCCACCTACACTCAACCATCCCATTTACTTCACCAGGCATACAGAAAACCACACTCTTGGCATTATCAACACACAGGCTGAATTAGACGACATCTTACGACAACATGCACACCACATGACTACACTGACGGCAGTAAGCACGACGTCCCAGTGGGAGCTGCCTTTGTGGTACATACTCCACAAAACACCCTTATCATCAAAACATACAAGCTAAAAGTATTCACAGTGCACTGTCTTAACGACTGAACTGATGGCCATTGACCTGTCAGTTGTTACACAAGCAACAGGTAGCTATAGCTTTTATCATGTCGAACTCCAGGTCAGCTCTGGAAGATATTAGCAACACTTACTTGATGTATCAAGTTATCACTAACATATAAAGGATTTACATATCACATACACACACAAATTAACTTTAGCTCACCTAGGACCCGTAATATTTTGTGGCCGTGGTGCTTCCCTGTTTAAAAGGGTGTATGCCTATTTTACTTCATTTTGTCTCCCGCTTTGCTAAGGAGGGAAGTGGATTTACGGTATTTCCAACTCCTCCAATTTTCTTCTGATTAATTTCGTTGCGGGTTCCAAGACAATTTAATTTCTTCCTGGGACTTCCCGAGCGTCATAACTCGGTGTGTTCGTGGGTCACTGCTGTGGGTCCTGGTGTACAGCAGTTACAGTGGTGGGCGTGTGGGTGGGATCAGTCCCAACAAAAAAAAAATACAATACACTCGCACAAGACTTAATCATGAACAACTGTCACCACGAAAATTGAGACCCATACAATTTAACACTACTGATCACAAACAGCACCGCAACCCACACCTTTATTACATCACCCTCATAGTTAGCACACTCAAATAATTCAATAACAGTAATAACACATAACGCACTCAAATACACACTCACATGTCCTAATACACATAACCACAAAACAATCAATACTCTTAGACAATCAAACTCTTTTAAACAATCAAAACTCTCCCTTTTTGGTTTCCCCTCACGGTTAAAGGGTTAAGTAAAACCTCTTGGCTATGAGAGAAAGAGAGAAAGAAAATGTGTGCTCGCACCTCTCTCTCTTGCACCTACAGTAATATACGACACGTAACACTCCGTTTTCTATCTTCATTTACTTATATCTCCCTCTCAACTTCCGTTCACACCCTCCGCCTGATCACGCTTTTCGTAACGTCACGCATTCAAGCGTAAAATATAATAATACATGAAACCCCCTCCTTTCTAAGGAGAGAGGCCTATGTCCAGCGGTGGACTATTAATGGCTGTTAATGTGATGGTGATGAATGCATGAAACCATAACTGTATCCTACCACATTCATTACAAGCTGAATATTCTATATAAATTATGTTTGTGTTATCTTCCTCTCTCCCAAACAAACTGTGCTGCGCCCGACAGGATCCATAAATTTTTAACATTATGGAAGCAATAAAGTCTATAGTTAAATAGTTAGTTAATAAATTTTATAGTTTTGTCGTCAAAACGTTACTTTGTAGGCTGATATCTCATTATCTGTAATTGCTAGGATTTAGGCGTGAACATCTATTTATTCGACATAAATTAACCTCTTTAGAATGACATATTGACGTACTATCAGAACAGTTTTCAACGCGTGCAATCTCAAAAATGATATATCTCATACAATGTCAAACGGGTCACCATAATTTCAATTTAATTTGGGAATATCTCTAACTGGCGACTATAGTTAAACCGCCGTAAGCTTGGCCCTCCTGATGGTTTGGGGGACGCGGGACGGGGGTGCTTTCAACCAATTAGCTAGTGCGTCGCTGTCCGCCGGCAGTGACTGACGTGAAAGCATTGCTGTACGTGTTATTTTTCTTAAGACTGCTACACACGGTATTATTTTGCAACATGGATAATCTGCCGGTTCTGCGTCACAAAAAGATTTAAAAACTTGAAGTTCGGCTTACAGAGGTTCTACTGTTAAAGTTCTAATAAAGAATATTTATTATTTTCCTTAATTTTTAAATTGTATCTGAATATAATTTACATGATGAAGATAAGGTGATTTTATTAAAATTATTTTACAGTATTAAATTTTACAATTAATCATAAAAACTTACAATACACTGACATTTTAATACATGGAAATAAATTCAATTGTTATTACATCGTGTGTAGATTAAATCTCAAACAAATAAATCTGAAGATATCGAGTTAGTACATCGTGTCATGTATAGCCGAGCGCATCACCCGCCCCGCGTCCCGCAAACCATCAGGAGGGCCAAGCTTACGGCGGTTTAACTAAAGCTATACTATATTGGACCACATTTAGCTCAATCTGCAAAATTTATTATTATTTAATAAAAAACTTGTTTCAATAAAGATATGTTTATTCTTGCAAAATTAACAAAAACAAAGATTATGAAAAGTCAACCATTACATTATAAAATCAACAAATAAAATTCTTTAGAAACTTTTACAGAAGCATTTTCAAGAAAATTAAATACAATTATTGTTTACAAAAATCAAATTTAACAAAAATCACATAGGGAAGGGTGAACATAAATGTTTCTTTTCACAAATGGATGCCTTAACAGAATAATACAGTAGTGAGTTAGCTTCTTATATCCACATTTGTAAAATCCATTATGCTCGCGTAATTATAGGTCAACGAAATCGTAGAGCGATTAATTCATTTAATAAATGCAAAAGGTTGAATAGTTGGCTCGATAGATGGCGTTGACTCGAAAATTTGACGTTAGATAAGAAGATACGGAAAAATATTTATATGTAAAACATCAAGCAAGAAAACTTCAAGTACTGTGACGGAATAATATACGCGATTAGTGTTTAGTCCAGTGTTTAATTTCCAACCCTCTCCAAGTCGCCCTTTGTACACATCATGATTACGATACTGTCGCTCAGATGGGGCATCATCAAACATGCGCTAAAAATAGCCAAATGCCTCGTCATCTAATTAGTGACGCGCATGAATGGATTATCGAGATTCCCACTGTCCCTATATATGAGGTCTTTGTCGTTCGCCCTCGCCAGTGTTTCGAAGTGCGCTCCGCAATTTAAAATATTTTTCTAAATCGAATCCGACTGTTTTATTAACAAAAACCATTGCTCTAAATATCAACGTGAAGAAATTCAAGCAAGCGCGGGTATACGGCGGGAGAACTATGACTCTCTTAACACCTGTTAATACACGCTCCTGCCGGTCCTGCGCTGTGTGTCGGTTGACAAGATGCGCAGGCGCGCTTTAACGCGCTAGGTAGTGTGCCCCCTAAGGCGCCTACGTTGTCGCGTGGCGCGTCGGGCGACTGATGCACACTCGCACGTACTCGTGGCCCGCGGAGCGTGCTCCCGACCGTGGGCCGCAAGAATCGTAAAACAGCACGCCGATCCGTGTGGGGCTAGCGATGATGAGCCTGCGCGATCGGAGGGTAGGTCACCCCCACCGATCAAACGCGGAGCACTAGCAAGAACTGCACAGCGCAAGCGAGCGGCAAAAGGGAAGCGTGGTGTGAGGAAAGGTCTAACGACCATCAGAGATGGCACATGGTTGCTCACGTGCGGCCGGCTATGCCGTTCACGACGGTGTTGAGTGGACGAACGGAATGGTTCACGACGGCTGCGCCTCAAATGGGTAAGAGTGGTGGAGGAAGCCACGAAGACCAACGCCCATCCTTGGCCTGCTAGTGGCGCCGCTGTGGTCGATAACAAGGGGGGGGGGGGGGAGGGGATTAACACCTGCACTTACTGGCACAAATGCACTGCAGCACCGTACGGTGTATAAAGTCGTCTCAAGAGTCAAGAGTCTCGACGTCGACAAAAGAGGAGGCGCACGGTTTGGGGTTTACACCCCAAGCAGTCTTGATGGGGGAAACCCGGGGTTCGGGGTTCCCCAAGCCCAGCGACGCCTTAGGGGGAGACTTTACGACTGACGCGGGCGAGCCGGGAGGGGGGGCTAGCAACCCGACCTCCCAAGATTTTGAATTTAGCGCTTTCGACTCAAGAAGAAATGACCCCGATCGCCCACAGGGGTCGGGGAGGGCGCGAATCCGCACCCCTGGCACTCGTGACACGGCTCAAGCGAGCGAAGTCGGTAGTGGCTGGGTGTGTCCGGAGTGTGAGCGAGCGTTTACAACCAAGATTGGAGTGGGTGTGCATAAAAGGCGCGCCCATCCTTTAACGACCAATATCGACGCTGCCCCTGCGCAGATCAAGCGGCGGTGGCGAGAAGAGGAGGTGGCCTTGCTGGCGAAAACGGAAGCGCGTCTGGTAAGGGAGTTTGTTCAGTGCACAAATCAAGAACTGGCCAACAAACTGCCACAAACCCCCCAGTAACAACTATAAACGACGAACCGGAGCCTAATAACACTGAACATCGACCCGGGTGCGCCTCTTCGAAGTACGACCAGACCTGCGTCTGTGCAGCCACAATCCACCCAGACCCATGACGTGGGTGTACTCCTGAGCCTTTTTGAGAAGGCCGAGAGGAGGAACGCGAGGTCCATGACGGTGAGAGGGCGGCGTCGGAGGCATGATACAGTGGAAACGAGAGTGACCACACTAGCTGGTCTGTCCTCCCGGAAACGGCGCAGGATGGAGTATGCTAGGGTGCAGGAATTGTGGCGGAAGTGCCCTAGTCGCGCAGCTGCCGAAATCATCGACGGCCAGAGCCGCGGTGTGAGGCGCAGCCTTGATGAACTGGAAGCCTACTGGCAGCGAATCATTGAGACTGTGTCGGACGCCCCGGGCCCCGCTCCGGAAGCTTTGCGTAAAGCGAAGCACTCCGCGCAGCGTGGGGAGCTCGTCGATGTCGCTGATGATGCCCTTTTCCGTTGAGGAAGTGAGGGCCTCCGGGTTGACGGGCGCTCCGCACCCGGTCCGGACGTGATCCTCCCGGATGACTGGAACGCAATTCCTGCTGAGACCCAGGCTGCTCTGTTCAATGCGTGGCTTGCACAAGGCGAGGCCCCGATGCGATTTAGGCGTAGTCGTACGATCTTCGTGCCAAAACCTGATGAGCCCAGTGGCCCCGGGGACTACCGGCCGATCTCGATCGCGTCTGTACCCCTAAGGCACATTGGAAGATTGGAAAGCTGCTGGCCCCCCGACGCACGTCAACGCGGATTTAAACGCGTGGACGGTACCCTGGAGAATTCTGAGGTACTGGACGCTATGCTGAGGAACTGCAGGAAAAGGCTGCGCGAATGCCATGTGGCGGGGCTGGACTTTGCGAAGCCCTTCGACACTCTGTCTCATAGAGCCCTTGTTGGAGTTCTTCGCGAAAGAGGCCTGCCCGAGGCGTTCTGCAGTTACATTGCGAACCTGTACGATACGGCTGAGACTGTCTTGGCCGTGGACGGAGTTCGCGAGTAGATAGGGACAGTGGGAATCTCGTTAATCCATTCATGCGCGTCACTAATTAGATGACGAGGCATTTGGCTATTTTCGAGCATGTTCATAACGCCCCATCTTAGCGACAGTCATTGTAATCATTATGGATTGTTCCAACGACGCCCCCACCGTCCCCCTACTGTTGGCAAAACATGCGTTTCTCCGATAGGTGTTCAACGGCCTGGTGATGTATAATTTGGGATTTGTGTGACCTAATGTCATGGGGTGCAGGCCTGGCCTCGGAGGCAACCCTTTCACAGGTTGCCCGGACACTCGTATCACCAAACTGCGAACCCTGTGAGGTCGTGTGGTTAAAGCATATCCAGTTCGTGTGCGAGCCTCTTAAGACCATCGGTGGTATAGCACCCAACAACGTCTTTGCAAGCCCGATATGCCTCAGCGATCTGTACGATGCCGGGCTCCATACACCACGCCAGGATAGTGTGCAGGAGGTTGCCGTTATGCACTCGGGACCAGAGAGTCCCAGCAAACTGGCGACGCGCTCGACTAGGACGCTTCTCTCGATGGAGCCTATCAAGCGATTGCCGACCAGATACTATTTGCGCATCGACTATCACCCCCACATTCTCCTTTGCGGCAATTATATCCGGCTTGCGAAGTCCGAGAGCTGTCCTTATCCTTGGCTCCCTAACTACGGTCCATCCTACTCCTGCCATCCCCGAACTCACGACATCCGCTATCTTGTCGTGGCGGAGAATACGTCCACCGTGCGTTCTGTAGTACTGCTGGATGCAATGGGCCGTTGTTTCCCTAACCGCACAGCCTGCGCGGCAGTTCAACTCCAGCCCTTCGCCCCCTAGAGTTCCGTACTCTAGACGGGAGCGCATTTATATTGCAGTGCACGAACTGCACGTAATCGCGGCCCGTAATCTCGGCGCTTGCTCTCGCATCTACTTAGTGGACGCAGTGGTCTTACATGATTCCCGGAGTTCGGAACCATCATTCGAAGCATACAGCGCCTCACGCCAATACATAGCCGTCGTCCGGTCTCCGGCTGTCGGATCTTCCCGTGTCAGCTTAAGCAAACGCTTATTTGCCCACTGCAGCTTCCTGCGGACCTTGTCAGATCTGGCGGCTGCTCTCGCCACTGACCATCCCGAGACCACTCCATGCGACCGAATCTCTTAACAACGAGATCCGGCACACATGACCTCAGCGATGGGACCGCTAAGCCTCCGTCCTTGGTCGCCGCGTGGAAAAACCCAGTGGATACATCCTTTGGGAGCCTGAGCCATTGACGGACCACACTCCGGATCTGCACGTCGAGCATCCTTAACCTGTCATCCGTTATCGTTCCCAACACGAAACCGTGCAGGAACCTCGGAATCAGGTGCACCCTTACTATTTCCACCCGCTGTTGCGGCTTCAGGGGAGCCCTCGAGATATTGTTTAGGGCTCTTTTGATCTCGTGCTCCAACGTGACACATCCAGACGCCTGAAAGTCAACTCCTAGATAGCGCCAACGTTCAACACAATACACTTGTCTTACCCAGCGACGTCCGAACCTAAAGGTTCTGCCACCGAGGTAATAAAGCTTCTTGCGCTTCCCGTCCGGCACCATCAATAAAACTGCGCTCTTGGCATGGCTCACATAGAGTCCCATCGTTCTCCCGCTCTCGACCATACTATCGATGGACGACTGCATTCCCACCACCGATCCCGCAAGCAGAACCAGGTAGTCAGCGTAGGCCAGAGCCGAGACTTGCTCATTTTCCAGCCTATAGCCGACTTCCCTTGGCAGCGTGGACAGTATAATGTCCATCGCGAGGTTAAAAAGGAGCGGGGACAACGGATCTCCTTGGCGTACCCCCTGACCGAGCCTGACAGGTGCACTGCAAACCCCGTCCACGGCCAAGACAGTCTCAGCCGTATTGTACAGGGTCGCAATGTAACTGCAGAACGCCTCGGGCAGGCCTCTTCCGCGAAGTACCTCGACAAGCGCCCTATGGGACAGAGTGTCAAAGGCCTTCGCGAAGTCCAGCACCGCCATATAGCATTCACGCAGCCTTTTCCTGCAGTCCCCCAGCACAGTGTCCAGCATCCCAGAGTTTTCCAGAGTGCCGTCCACGCGGATAAATCCACGTTGGTGTGCATCGGGGGGGCAGCAGCTTTCCCATCGACGCGCCATCGCCGAGTACATGTGCCTTAGGGGTACCGACGCGATCGAGATCAGCCGGTAGTTCCCGGGGCCACTTGGCTCATCAGTTTTTGGCACGAAGATCGTACGACTACGCCTCAGTCGCATCGGGGCCTCGCCTCGTGCAAGCCACGCATTGAAAAGAGTAGCCTGGGTCTCACAGCAGGAATTGCGTTCCAGTCCCCCGGGAGTATCCCGTCCGGACCGGGTGCGGAGCGCCCGTCAACCCGCGACGCCCTCACTTCCTCAACGGAAAAGGGCATCATCAGCCGCTCGACATCGACGAGCTCCCCATGCTGCGCGGAGTGCTTCGCTTTACGCAAAGCTTCCGGAGCGGGGCCCGGGGCGTCCGACACAGTCTCAATGATTGGCCGCCAGTAGGCTTCCAGTTCATCAAGGCTGTGCCTCACACCGCGGCCCTGGCCGTCGATGATTTCGGCAGATGCGCGACTAGGGCACTTCCGCTACAACTCCTGCACCCTAGCATACTCCATCCTGCGCCGTTTCCGGGAGGACAGACCAGCTAGTGTGGTCACTCTCACGTCCATTGTTCGTTGCCTTCGACGCCGCCTTCTCACCGTAACGGACCTCGCGTTCCTCCTCTCGGCCAGCTCAAAAAGTTCCGAGAGTATATCCGCGTCACCGGTCTCGGTGGATTGCAACTGCACAGACGCAGCTCTGGGCGTACTTCGAAGAGGTGCCGCCAGTTCCGTCATCGGCGCACCCGGTTCGGTTGGTTGTTCAGTGTTGCTAGGCTCCGGTTCCTCACTTGTGGTTGTTACTTGGGGGGTCTGCTCCTTGTGCGTGTCCAGCCACCACTGGACCGCTTTCTTATATTCAACTCTCCTCTTGCCTTTGATGGCCTCCACCGTTCTGCCTAAGTGGGGCAGTATTTTGGCCAGTTCTTGATTTGTACACTGAACACCCTCCCTTACCAGACGCGCTTCCGTCTTCGCCAGCAAAGCCACCTCCTCTTCTCGCCACCGCCGCTTGATCTGCGCAGGGGCAGCGTCGATGTTGGTCGTCAAAGGATGGGCGCGCCTTTTATGCACACCCAATCCAATCTTGGTTGTAAACGCTCGCTCACACTCCGGACGCACCCAGCCACTGCCGACTTCGCTCGCTTGAGCCGTGTCACGAGTGCCAGGGGTGCGGATTCGCGCCCTCCCCGACCCCTGTGGGCGATCGGGGTCGCGCTCACTATATTCTGAGTCAAAAGCGCTTTTTAATCCTGGGAGGTCGGGTTGCTAGCCCCCCCTCCCGTTTCGCCCGCGTCAGTCGCAAGGTCTCCCCCTAAGGCGTCGCTGGGCTTGGGGAACCCCGAACCCCGGGTTTCCCCCATCGAGACTGCTAGGGGTGCAAGCACCCCAAACCGTGCGCCTCCTCTTTTCGCCAGGGATATACACCAAAGAGACGACTTTAGACACCGCACGGTGCTGCAATGCCTTTGTGCCAGTAATTGTAGGTGTTTATCCCCCCCCCCCGCCTCCTTGTTAGCGATCGCAGCGGCGCCACTAGCAGGCCAAGGAAGGGAGTTGGTCTTCGTGGCTCCCTCCACCACTCTGGAGTCGCATGGAGTCCTCGGGATGGTCAGTGGCGAGAGCAGACGCCAGATCTGACAAGATCCGCAGGAAGCTGCGGTGGGCTAATAGGCGTTTGTTTAAGCTGACACCGAAAGATCCGACAGCCGGAGAACGGACGACGGCTATGTATTGGCGTGAGGCGCTGTATGCTTCGAATGACCGTTCCGAACTCCGGGAATCATGTAAGACCACCGCGTCTACTAAGTGGATGCGAGAGCGAAGCGCTGAGATCACGAGCCGCGAATACGTGCAGTTCGTGTACTGCCACATAATAAATGCGCTCCCGTCTAGAGTACGCAACACTAGGGGGCGCCGGGGCGAAGGGCTGGAGCTGAACAGCCGCGCAGGCTGTGCGGTTAGGGAAACAACGGCCCATTGCATCGAGCAGTGCTACAGAACGCACGGCGGACAGATAGCTGACGTGAGTTCGGGGATGGCAGGAGTAGGATGGACCGTGATGGACCGTAGGATGGATAAGGACAGCTCTCGGACTTCGCAAGCCGGATTTCACGCCGCAAGGGGCATGTGGGGGTGATAGTCAATGCGCAAATGACTGGTCGGCAATCGCTGGATGGGCTCCATCGAGAGAAGCGTAACAAGTACGGTACTCACGTGGAGCTAGTCGAGCGGGTCGCCAGTCTGCTTGGACTCTCTGGTCCCGAGTGCATAAGGGCAACCTCTGCACAATATCCTGGCGTGGTGTATGGAGCCTAGCATCATAAAGATTGCTGAGGCATATCGGGCTGGCGAAGACGTTGTTAAGTGCTATACCACCGATGGTTTTAAGAGGCTCGCACACGAACTGGACACGCTTCAACCACACGGCTTGACAAGGTTCGCAGAGTACGAGTATCCGGGTTACCTGTGAAAAGGGTTGCCTCCGAGGCCAGGCCTGCTCCCTATGACATTAGGTCATAGTTTCCAAAATTTAACATCAGCAGGCCGTTGAACACCAATCGGAGCAATGCATGTTTGCCAACAGTAGGGGACGGGGGGGGCCTCGTTGGAACAATCCATGATGATTACGATACTGTCGCTAAGATGGGGCATCATCAAACATGCGCTAAAAATAGCCAAATGCCTCGTTATCTAATTAGTGACGCGCATGAATGGATTAACGAGATTCCCACTGTTCCAATCTTCACTTCGTCGTTCGCTCTCGTCAGAGGCGGTCGTCTGTAAGTGCGCTCTGAATTTTTAAATTTATTTAATTCAGTAAATTTATATTTCTGTTGCCCGAAAATCGGTCCCTCCCGCCCCCTCCCGGTCTTGGGGTAGTGCCCATAAGAGGCAGCGGCCATTTTGTTTTTTGTACTGCGTAGAGTGAGATATAGACTCGGTGTTCTGACATTTGTGGTGTGTAATCGGCCCCTCTCGCTTCTTCCTGGGACATCGCCCATAAGAGGCGGCGGCCATCTTGATTTCGCGAGTGAGACAGTGACTCGGAGTGAGTGAAAGTGACACTAGTGACAGTGACACCATTTGCGATAGTGACGTTTGAACAACAGTGCGTGTGTTCGCCTATAGAGGGCGCAGTTAGCGTCTTCTGGTTCGTGTTTTGCCCGCAGAGGGCGTAGTTATTTGTGTAGTCTACTCTAGTGCGCGTTTTCGCCCCCAGAGGGCGTAGTGTCAGTGACAAAGTGCCAGGAGTTTCAGCTTGTGTTGTCGCCCACAGAGGGCGCGAGGGCTACTAGTGCGTAACCACAAGTTTATGCCATCGGCAGGAACGTCACCTTCGAACTTTACACTCTTTTTATTTATTTCACTTGTTTTGTTCTTTTATCCACATATTGTCGCTACTGCCATATAAATAATGAGCAGCGACTCGGAAGAGGGGGGGCGCCCACCCCCTCGGCCGATGGACCCTGCGGAGGACCCCTCCAACGGAGCTGCGCGCAGCCGGGGAGGGGGTCATGAGGACGACGCCTGAGGTCCTGGAGCTGGCACAGGCGGCCTTCGACTCTGTCCTCGCTGCGGCATCGCCGAGGAGTATCCCGGCGTATCCCCCACCCCGACGTTTTCTCCCGCACCCTTGCAAGATCAGGAGCCCTTGGCGCCAGAACGCCAGCGCCCCGGCGCCGCAAAACGCATCCTCTCGCCGGACGCACAGGCCGAGACGGACCCCAAGCGCCGCACTGCCCGCGATCTGTCGGTAGCCTCTGGCCCGTCCGATCTACTGGCACCCCCCACGCCTACGACGGAGTACGGGTCGCCGTTCTCCTCCGAGGATGAGGGCTTCCTCCTCGGAGATGAGGACTTGGTGAGGGCATGAGCGCGACAGCTGCTTGCCAAGGCGGGTGCAGCGTGCCGAAGCATAGCGGCTGTTGCGGGTGGGCAGGCGTCTCGTCTCAATAAGGCAGACTTAGGCTCAATAAATGCCCAGCTCAGAGTCCTGATGGAGATCGTGGGACATTGCTGCACTACAGTGGAGGGCCAGAAGTCGGCGGTCACTGAAATGCAGCGCCACCACAGCATGTTAGATGATGCTCGCGCGCGAGAAGATGCTAGGGCCTCAAGAGCAGAGGCCGAAGCGGAACGGGTCCGATCAGAAGCGGCTGTGGCCCTTTCCACGGCAGGACCCTCCAACCTTCCCATGGCCCTACCAACCTCTCGGTTATAACGGGCCGAAGCACGGGAGGGACACGCGCTACTTGCTCGGGGCCTTTCACGCGTGTCCTTTCTTGACTCCCTACATATTGTTTAACTCTATGTCCGTCCCTATATCTTTGGACACTCTCCCCTTTCTGGGGCTTGACGTCACATAACGGCGACTTCGTGTTCGCGCTCTATAGCCGCCGTTATCATCGCTCCAATTTGCTCCTAATGTCGTGCCACCCGTGCGCGAAGTCCCGTAGCTGCTTGAAGTTCGCCTCAGAGGAAACCAGGTCACCGTAGTACACCGGTCCGTCTTCGAGCCTAGTAATCCCATTCAACAACTTACACCTTTGTTCCTCATACAGTGGGCATTCCCACAACACATGATGCATATCCTCTTCTACGCCTAATCCGCAGTAGCACTCGCTGACTTCGGTTAGCTTTAAATCACAGAGCCTTTTACGAAAGCAACCATGTCCGGTTAGGATTTGCGACGTTTCATAGTCCGGTTCGACCCAGGTTGCCCCGAGTCTCGCCGCCACGTCCGGAAAGAACCGATACGTTTCCCTCCCCTTCTCTGAGGCGTCCCACCTGGTTTGCCAGGCGTCGACAACGAGGTCCCAATTGCGACGTTTCTCCGCCGCTAGCTCCACCTTGGTCGCGTGCTGTGTGCGCGCTACGCCTAGTCTGCCAGCACGGATTACCTCGAGGTCAGCCGGAAGAACGCCGGCCAATACCGGGAGGGCAGAACTGCTCGTCGTTCGGTACGCCTTGGTCAGAAGGACCAAGGCCGGTCTCTGGGTGCGCAGAAGCGCGCTCCGCACAACGTGTAGGGACGCACGCTCGTACCAGCAAACGGCAGCGTACGTCACCGTAGCGACGTACGTACCCTGGTACAGCACCCTCAGTGCCCTATGCCTAACCCCCCATGAGCTCGCCGATACTCTCGACATCTTGCCGAAGCAATTTGCCGCCCGTTCCCCAATGGATGCTGCGTGCTGAGCAAACGACAGGCTCGCGTCGATTACCACCCCCAAGACTGTGGTTGACGTGACGCTCCTGATCGATTCGCCGCCGAACCTGATGGTGGGGGGACGCTGTAGTTTCCCCCTCAGGGTCATCGTAGACGACTTAGAGGAGGAAAATCCCAGCCGATTTCTGGTCCCCCACTCACCGACGAGTTGTAAAACGGTAGAGGCCGTCGCCTCTACTCTCGCCCGGGAATCCGCCTCAACCAGGATCGTCACGTCATCGGCGTACGCCACAATCTCCACCCCCCCAGGGAGCGGCAACCGAAGCAAGTCATCCATCAGGACATTCCAGAGCGTGGGTCCCAACACCGATCCCTGCGGGCAACCCATAGTTGCCGTCTTCCACTCGACATGATCGCCAACGAACAAGCCAACGCGCCTGTCGACGAAGTAGCCCGCAAGCATCGAGTAGATGTTACGCGGGCAACCCCCCCGCTTAGCCTTCAGCAAGATCATGGGCCACCATGCGTTGTCGAAGGCGCCAGAGATATCAAGAAAAACGGCTTGCACGTACCGAGACGAACTGTTCCTTGCAGATGAAAGGAGTTGCAGAAGTGCAGACTCCGTCGACCGTCCCCGAGTGAAACCATGCTGGCAGTCCGACAGCCCGCGGCTGATCTGCGGGGCGCACTTTAACATGACGCGCTCTAAAACCTTACCAAGTATGGGTAGCAACGTGATGGGGCGGTACGCTTTCGGGTCGGTAAGGGGCTTGTCGTTGCCTTTCGGCAGTACAAGCAGCCTACCTTCCTTCCAAACGTCCGGAAAAATTCCCTCTTTTATGCACCTAGCAAACACCTCAGTGAAGTCAACAGCCGCAGCACGCCAAACGTGTTTGACGATGCGCGCCGAGATGCCATCGATTCCCGGAGCAGTGTTAGGCAAAGCCCTGACTATACTATCTAGATCTTGTACCGACGGAGAGGGGGCATCCTCACCTGAGGGCGAGCACGCAGCCGCCAAGCGCACCTGTCGATGATAAACATCGTCCTTGGACAGGTGGTCGTCCGGACACAGGCTATGTATAAGGCAGTGCGCGGCCTCGCGCACGCTCCCAGCATACCCTTCGGCAAACTTTGTCCCACTAATTACATTGTGTGGAGGGCGAACCCTCCCGCACGCGGCACGGTAAGCAAGACCCCAGGGGTCCTGATTACCGGATTCGGCTATGTCACGAAAAATTTAAGTTGCGCCCTCTCCATAGCCGCTCTATATTCACTCCTAGCACGATGAAAACTCTCTCTTGCCTCAATTTCCGCCTGGCCTGCCCGTTTCCGGGTACGTTGCCACATCCTCCTTTTGCGCATATTTTCAACCCGATGCCTCTCAACCTCATTTGTCCACCATTCATAGCCATTGTCTCTCTTACTTTCACGAGATACCCCAAGGGTATCTTTTGCTGTACTTACGATTATACTATTAAACTGCTTACATACCGCGGACGCCGGCGTGCTCCATTTAATCCAACCCATACGCTCGTGGATTTTCGATTCAAAGAGTTCCCAGTTTGCACGGCGATCCCGGAACCTAATCGGCAGCCCCCCCTGCAGCTCAGCGCGTGGAGCAAATGAGCCTGAGCTCGCCACACTGAAGGTAATTAAGCGATGGTCGCTAGAACTGGCTCCAATGTGAACTCTCCAGTCTAGTATGTGCACGCCCCTTGTGTGTAAGGTCAGATCAATATTGGACTCCCCGTTAGCAGTGCTGAAGGTGTGCGGTTCACCGGCGGCATTCGCGATCTGTAGATCTCGAGCCAATATAAAGGCCTCCATCGACTCTCTCCTGTGGGTTACTTCAGGTCCTCTACCCCTGTATTGCCGCGTTTCGGAGAACCACATCGGGGAATGGGCGTTGGTGTCGGCACATATAATTACCTTCTTACCGCGTAGGTGGTCTAGGACCCGCCCTAGCTGGTCCAAGTGTAGATCTATGTCGTCACTGTACTTGAAGTAGGAAGAGACGACATAAATGTCGTCCCCACCCACACTCAAGCAACAGACCAGACAGTGAGTATTGGACAGATGGTAAAGGGTAGCACAGGGCAGGTCAAGGCGCGGTAAATATACGCCAGCTTGCGCACGGGAGCCACACTGCAGAACGCTAGTGGCTTCACTTGGGGGCGTGGAGAACTGTTCCTGTACCAGGACAGTATCCAGCCCCAAGTCCCGCGATAAGGCTGGGAGCTCCCTGGTGGCGAGCTCACCCCCCCCCCTAGGTTTAACTGACCAACTTTCACTACGGCTCTACAGTCCATAGTTGGTGGTGGAGATCAGCCTGCGTTCCGCGTTCTGCCGGGCGGGACAGTCCCGCGATGCAGTGTTGTGCGTGTTGGCCGCCTGATGGCCAAATTTGGTGCAGGTGGCGCAGCATGCTGTTGCCGACTTGCATTCATCACCTTTGTGGCCCTCTTTCCCACACTTGCTGCAAGTCGGTGCGCTAGCACGGCACAGCTTTTCAGGGTGGCCGTACAGCTGACACTTGCGGCAGCAGGTCACTTCCGCGTAGTCCTCCACCACCACTACCTCCCAACCAATGTAGAGCCGCTCTCGGGACACTAGCGCTGTCCGTAGAGCTGGGGAGCATTCCAGTACTACGGTAGTTCGGTTCCCCCCTTGCCGAGATTTCTTGAAGGCCATTCTGGCCTCTTTCCTGAGCCTCTCTAGTGTCCAGGTTTCGTCCCCTCTAAAGTTTTGGTCGTGCATGGCCACGACCACTTCCTCGAACTTGGGGTCGCCATCCAGGTTCCGAAGGGCAACTAAGGGTGACCTGGACTTGGCGTCCCTGACCTGCAAGGTCGCCGGCATTGCCGCCTTAATTTTTGTGGCTGCCTCTTGAGTTGCCGTCCTCAGGATAATCCCGGAGTTAGCGACCCTGCGGAGACCCATTATCTGGGTTCCTAGCTCGCGCGGTTCCACCGATTTCTTCAAGACCAGTTTAGTTTGGTCTGCCGTCTTGAGGTCACTGCCCTCCGCAGGGTATATTGCCAATGTTGCTCCGGGGTGGGGGGGTATAATGAGTTGGGGGGCTTTGGGGGCTCGTTTCAACGCCCTAGCGTAGTTGACAGTCTGCCATCCCTCACCGGTCGTCCCAGCTGTTGCAGCTGTTGCAGCAGCGGCTGCCGCCTCCGCTCTGGCCCGTTCGGCCTCCGCTTCCGCTCTTGACGCTCGCGCGGCTTCCCGCACGCGGGCCTCGTTTAATAGTCCCTGGTTCCTTTCGAGTCCCGCGTTAGCCGTCTTTTGGCCTTCCACCACAACGCAGCAGTGCCCCACGATCTCGGCGAGCACCCGAAGCTGGCCGTTAATTATGGCCAGATCCGCCTTGTTGAGGCGAGATGCCTGTCTGAATGCCACCGCCGCGATACTTCTACACGCCGCGTTCGCCTTGACCGGCAGCTGCCGTGTAGTCGCCCTTCCCAGCTCCTCGTCACCGAGGAGGAAGTCCTCGTCCCCGGAAGAGAACGGTGAGCCATATTCCGTCGCTGGGGTATGTACGATTGGAGGCGCGAGGAGATCAGTCGGGCCACTGACCACTGACAAGTCACGAGCGGTGCGGCGCTTTGGCTCTGTCTCCGCCTGGGTGTCTGGCGATAAAATTCGTTTAGCGGCCGCTGGGCGCATGCGCTCAGTAAGCGCCAGAGGTGCTAGGTCCCCCACGGGCGCGGGGGAGAATGTTGGGGTCGGGGGGTAGGCCGGAATGCCTTTTGGGGATCCAGATGCTGCAGCGATAACCGAATCAAAGGCCGCTTGGGCCATCTCCAAAACCTCGGGCGGAGTCGTGACAGACGACTCGCCCACCGCGCGCACCTCCCTTGGAGGGGTCCTACGCAAGGACCCCCTCGGCCTAAACGGGTCCATCGGTCGGGGAGGGGGGTGACCCCCTCCTCCGAGGAGCTGCTCATATCTAGTACTACGCAGCAACGATATGTAGATGATAGGACAAACAAATGAAATAAATGAAAATAAAAAAGAAAAAAGAGTGTAAAGTTCGGTGACGTTCCTGCCGATGGTATAAACCTGTGCTTACGCACTAGTAATACTATGATGCGATGCACGAACGTCCAACAGGTCGTCAAGTGAGTTATACTCACAACGCTGGTATATTATGGGCACTCACCCCTACCGTTCCGAGTCGCTGTGAGGTGAGGGGCACGTCACCCGCGCGCCCTCTATGGGCGACAACACAAGCAGGAACTCCTGGCACTTTGTCACTGACACTGCGCCCTCTGGAGGCGAGAACGCGCACTAGAGCAGTGTACACAGAAAACTACGCCCTCTGCGGGCATAACACGAACTAGAGGACGCTAACTGCGCCCTCTATAGGCGAAAACACGCACTATTGTTAAAACGTCACTATCGCGGTTGTGTCACTGTCACAAGTGTCACTGTCACTCACTCCGAGTCACTGTCTCACTCACGAAATCAATATGGCCGCCGCCTCTTATGGGCGATGTCCCAAGAACAAGCGAGAGGGGTCGATTACACACCACAAATGTCAGAACACCGAGTCTCTGTCTCACTTTTCACCGTACAAAAATCAAAATGGCCGCTGCCTCTTATGGGCACTACCCCAAGAGAGAGCAGGAGGGACCGATTTTCGAACTACAGAAATAAAAAAAAAATATACCGAATTAAATAAATTTAAAAATTCAGCGCGCACTTCGATACGACCGTCTCCAACGAGAGCGAACGACGAAGTTCCACGGCAGGACCACCGAACGATGGCTGGCAAACAGTGAATTATGCCAGAGCGCTGAAACGGGCCCTCAAGGTCACCCCCTTAAACATCCCTCCCTCCCCTGCCGCAACCCTGGCCATATACCCGGCGGAGGGTAGCGCTCTCAAAACTGCGGAGGAGACTAAAACGGCCTTGAAGAAATCCATCCAGCCGCAGGAGCCGCCCAAATAGTGGGTCTCCGGCGGGTTGCCAAATCCGGGCTTATCTTAAGGACCGCCACCCACGAGGCAGCACAAAAAATAAAGGCGGCAATTCCGGTCACACTCCAGGTCAGGGACGCAAAGTCGAGGTCGCCCCTAGTGGCAATTAGAAACATGGAGGGCGACCCCAAATTTGAGGAAGTGGTCGTGGCGTTATACGACCAAAATTTTAGGGGCGACCCCACTTGGACACTAGAGAAGCTCAAGAAGGAAGCCAGGATGGCATTTAAGAAGTCTCGGAAAGGGGGGAACCGGACCACCGTGGTGCTGGAATGCTCCCCAGCCCTGCGGACAGCGCTAGTGTTCCGAGAGCGGCTCTACATTGTTGTTCGTTGGCGATCATGTCGAGTGGAAGACTGCAACTATGGGTTGCCCGCGGGGATCGGTGTTGGGACCTACGCTCTGGAACGTCCTGATGGATGACTTGCTTCGGTTGCCGCTCCCTGGGGGGGTGGAGATTGTGGCGTACGCCGATGACGTGACGATCCTGGTTGAGGCGGATTCCCGGGCGAGAGTAGAGGCGACGGCCTCTACCATTTTAAAACTCGTCGGTGAGTGGGGGACCAGAAATCGGCTGGGATTTTCCTCCTCAAAGTCGTCTACGATGACCCTGAGGGGGAAACTACAGTGTCCCCCCACCATCAGGTTCGGCGGCGAATCGATCAGGAGCGTCACGTCAACCACGGTCTTGGGGGTGGTAATCGACGCGAGCCTGTCGTTTGCTCAGCACGCAGCATGAAACGTCGCAAATCCTAACCGGACATGGTTGCTTTCGTAAAAGGCTCTGTGCTTTGAAGCTAACCGAAGTAAGCGAGTGCTACTGCGGATTAGGCGTAGAAGAGGATATGCATCATGTGTTGTGGGAATGCCCACTGTATGAGGAACAAAGGTGTAAGTTGTTGAATGGGATTACTAGGCTCGAAGACGGACCGGTGTACTACGGTGACCTGGTTTCCTCTGAGGCGAACTTCAAGCAGCTACGGGACTTCGCGCACGGGTGGCACGACATTAGGAGCAAATTGGAGCGATGATAACGGCGGCTATAGAGCGCGAACACGAAGTCGCCGTTATGTGACGTCAAGCCCCAGAAAGGGGAGAGTGTCCAAAGACATAGGGACGGACATAGAGTTAAACAATACGTAGGGAGTCAAGAAAGGACACGCGTGAAAGAGCCCCGAGCAAGTAGCGCGTGTCCCTCCCGTGCTTCGGCCCGTTATAACCGAGAGGTTGGTAGGGCCATGGGAAGGTTTGAGGGTGTTCCAATCTTCAACTATTTGTAATAAACTAACTCGTTCGCTCTCGTCGGAGACGGTCGTATCGAAGTGCGCGCGCTGTAGTTTTGAATATTAAATTCCAATATTCTTATTGCAGTTTTTCTATAGTCGGTCGCTCTCGTTTCTTCTTGTGGTATCGCCCATAAGAGCCGTATTTATTTTCGTACCGCGAAAAGTGAGACAAAAACTCAGTGTAGTGATTACGTCAGTGTTTTATACACTGTGGCGGTATAGATATCACAAAAAATGAAATAACAGATAACACGGTTCAATATACGTCGGTTAAAATAAAAAAATAAAAAATTAGTACGAAAATACAGAAATGCAAATTTAGAACAAACTAAATACAATAAAATAATTTCCGAATTAGAACACCATTGATAACATGAGTCGGTGAACTGTACCTACACGGCAGCGTCGCAATGTCGGCGACATCAAAACGACGCCGCCGCCGCCGCGACGAGCGAATTTTACATTCTTATTACCTACCTACCAATCACTTCACTTGCTTTTAAAAATCTATTTATAAAGAATGCGATTTTATTCACGTGTTTATTTCGTGAATGCTCGACTAGCTTCCGACCCAGCAGTACGCGTCACTCCTTGAAAAAGTAGTTACCTTGGTTGTCTCGTAATCTTTGTACCGCCCTTACAAAAATTCGGCAGTCTGTAGGACATACACGATTGACTCCATACGTGTCCGTAAAGCAAAAGATGCGTTTTGATAGAGTTTTCCATAAATTAACATCATAGCAGGATATTCCGCCGCTGTGAAGGTCACTCACGGCATTATGGATGTTGATATCGATAACCCAATAAAATTAAAAGACTGATAATGCACTCAGTTTCACACTACACTACACACAGAACCTAATAGTGACTTTTCAAAATAAAATTAGCAGGACTCCTTACATTACGAAGTCTTGCGCACACGATAACATTAATTGTTCACACCATTGCCGTGTATTATGACGAAAGCAATAAGACTAAACAATTATTACCACAAGAAAACTTCTCTAAACAAATATGTATCTCATAAACAACAACAATATTATTATTACGTTTATTTGTCGTGAGCGCATCTACAAGGATACGGAATAGCATAAGCTCGCCGGTGGCCAAGGGCCGACTGACTGTCCTTACTGGATGAACTAATTAAAAACGCGTGTTGCATCGTGATGACGTAATAATCAACATATTTCGTTCGATTCGGGTGTAGTAAAAGCGGCAACGTGTGATTACCGCGCCGCGTATACAGCTGATCGCCGCCTGAGGTCAATGTATTATGACTGCATGTACACATGATGTTGCAATTTACGAAACACAAAAATGAGTCCTGTGGCTAAACTACTGGATATATTTTGTTCATATTTTGCAAATCGCCTAGAAATTAAGGGCAGAATATGTGGCTTAAGTATTTGGGATAGGAAATGAAACTCTCTGTATATGTAATACATGAACGTAAAGTGATAAAACCTCGATCCCTCCTTGTCTCGCTTGGGTGCTCGCCCGTAAGAGCCCGCGGCCATTTTGGATTTAGTACCGTGGTGAGTGAGATAGTGACTCGGAGCAAGTGAAAGTGACAGTGACACATAACTAGTGCGTGGTATTGCCCATAGAGGGTCTAGTTACATTGTCAGTAGTGACAGTGACACATTTGTGACAACAGCGATAGTGACGTTTAAAAGTTTTAGTTTGTGCTGCTCCCCACAGGGGGTGCGCGAGTGACGCGTGCGTCGCAGCACACCGTGTGCAGGGCACAGTGCGGAGTGCAGACTGGAGTGTCGGTGAGGCAATTCCATTTTTCTTTCTTTTATTTGCATTGACGATCTCCTGACGTTGTCTCGGTTCGTGAATTGCTGTTACTACATTCATAGTAGTGCGCAGGAAGCAGTGTATCGCATCGGTGGGAACTACACAGCAGAAGTTTATACTTTTATTTTATTATTTTTCTTTCTATTTTTGTTTGTTTATACTATAAGTTGTGAGCACAAGTAGTGTACACATTATGAGCAGGGGTCCCTTCGAGGGGTCTAAATTTTTTCTACTTATCTCACAATCGAGATGTAAAGCAGAATATTACGCATCAATTGCACCCTCGAAGTATAGGATCGAAATATCTCGGGCTGCAATTGATGCCTTACAGCCCTTGGCTACTAATCTACTATTAATAACCGCCACACCGCAAACAACAATAGGAAGACGGCCCGAGGGGCTAACACACATATGAAAAAGAAGTCAGATGAAGACCTAACCTAATCTACCAGAGGCACGAACATGCGAGAGTGAACAGTATACGATAAAACCACTCTTGTGAGTCGGTGGAGTGAACTGCTCCAGTTTCAGATGAACTAAGTACATAACTTCACTACCTATGTACATTACAACAAATAAATATCGTGTCAAGTGGGAGACAGGTTCATTCATCGAGATTGTTGTCCTTATCTATACTTAATAATAAAGTTTACTTGAACAAACATAACACGCGACAGTTACTTATAAAGCTAATCGTGTACAACAGCTCGAGCTCTGACCTCGACGCGTCACCGTGGACTGAACCTTCAAGTGAAGCTTCTTCGGCAGATTTAGTCACATCATCGAGTAGACAGCGGCGAAGTCTTGCAGGACGGCCCTGGAAATAGATACCAGAAGCAATTTCAGTGAGGATGCATAGAAATGAACTGCTTAACTCTGCTGCACACAAATGTTTGAATTATTCGAACCGCTACGCCATTCGGCCGTCAATTTTCAGTTACTAGAAAATTACCTTTTTAGGTGCGGCGTGACCAGAGTGGCCTCGTTTATTTACAAAGTATCACCAATAATTCTCTACACTCTTGAAAAATCTATACATTAATAAAGAAGAAGAAAGAAAACTCTTTGTACACTTTTTTAAAGAAACATGGCGCACAGAAAAGAACATATTTTCAAAGCATGACATGACACGAATGGCGTAATGGTTTAAGCGGCCACCTAGCCGCTTCCAACTGCGCTAAGTGTTGTCCACAAATTGTTGTCCGTACATGAAACGTACACAAGGAACACCGGGGTGTTCCTTGTGTACGTTTGTAAAGTCCCCCGCGACA